ATTTTTTGATGACGACTAGTTGACAGTACTCTTACTAAAATAACTGTCTTAAGTTGTAAACGTTACTCTGAGTGTTTAAAAGTGTTAAATACTAACCAAGTTAAATAAATCACGATTAATAATTAAATTTAAAACCTTGAGTTGTTCATTTGATTTGCCTACTTGTCAACCGTGTTCCACAACTGGATCACAACATGGATGTATATTTTGTCTGGAGACGCCAAATAGAACCCCAAGCATCTCTTTAGGTACATTTGTAAGTCTTAAATTTTTTCTAAGATGTTGCATTATTTTATATATCAGATAATTTGTTAAGATGTGTCTACACTAATTATTTCAAACATTTTCTAACTTAATATATATTTTTTTACATAATTTGGAGTCATTTCAAAACAACATTAAATCATTCACTTATCTTAAATTTAAATACTTATTGCTGATGAACTGTTTGTCTAAAATTTGATTTTTATAGATTGAAATACTAAGAATAATATTCTGCTTCAGAACATAAAATTGAAAATGTATCATTCACAAATGTAGATTTTAAAAAATATATTACGATAACAATTTTTTTTTCAAGTTTGTTGAAACAAAATTATGTAAAAAAAATGTTTTCAAAAACCTTTGGAACTTTTTGAAATAATAAGTGTAGACACTATAATGGATAGCCTGTTTTATAAATTGTGAATGCTAAAAGACTTCAGATTTTTAAAATTTAATTTTTATTTGTATTGATTTTTTAGGTTTCCCAAAGATAAGTCTGAACAATCGCTGTGGCTTATAGCTTGTGGGTTTACTGAAGAAGATTTTAAGCCTTCTATAAAACTTTGTTCTCTCCATTTCGACAAAGATTGTTTCAAAACTGAGAATATTTTAAAACCAAATTCAGTTCCACAAAGTTTTACAGAAAATCAAAAAAATTKTTTGAATCAACGTATGTTGTTCTTTATTATGATATTTRAGTGAATATTTTAAAGTAAAACTAAAAAATTTAGGTCCTTGAGTATGATGCCTGAGTTACTGACGTACCAAATTTTTGAGCAGACTGCTTCAACATTTAWCAGTCAAATGGAAACTTCTGAAATTAATGGTTGGTAATAAAAATATAAATTTATTATATTATGAATAGATTATTGACCTATTATCAAAATTAAAGGTACCTACTTAAGAATATTATCTATGCCATCATATAGGCTTTTATTGATATTTAGCTTTAAAGTTATAATAGGTATATAAAAATTAAAAATATTTATTAACTTGCTTTTAAGCTAAATATCAACAAAAGTATACACGAGGTGCCTTAGAATCTAGATAATATTTTACCTTTAAGTTTTATAATAGTTTCAGAAAAATATAAAAGTTAATTATAAAATTGGTTTATTATTTATAAATTTATAATTATATTTTAGCATTCACCGTTAATATTGTTTGATCTTAGGTACTCCTAATCGAACACCGAAGAAATATTTTATACATAATGTAACTACTCCAGATTTTGATATTCTGAGAAAAGCCAATTATAATTTCACCAAAGCTAAGTATCAAATTATTCAACAACAAAAAAAAATTAAATATTTAAATTTAAAAATAAGCAGACTTTCATCTATGGATGAATTAATTATTCAAATGAAACAAAAAATCTTCTAACTGAACAAGTTAATACCATTTTGGTAGGTTTTATTTCAATGAATGRAAGTTACTATATCATGTTTGAGAGACTATTCACTCACTWATAATTTGTTAAATCCTTAATGATTATTTATAAATGTTGTGATAAATATCTATTTGTTGATYATAGTATTAATATATTTTAATACATAATATAATGTTTTTTATTACTATATTTTGTTTAAACTATGTATGATGTAAGTTATTTTTTTGTATGTTATTTATTTCAAAAACTTTTATATATTATTAATTTGTGAATTAATAAACTAAATTATTTTTAATTTACTATAATATACTTATAACTAGGAACAACTTTTATATATTATGCTGTTTTTAAATAAGATTTATGTTAATTTTATATTATATAGCATTAAGAATGCACAACCATGTAAACCTGAACAACCAACATAGTGTCAAAATACAAGGAAAAACTCATATTATTAAAAATCAATAGGTGATACYAAGGGTAACATTTTGATGGCATGCGCAAAATTTTCAGTTTTCTAATATGGCCCTTCAAAAATATTAATTTTTGACCCTTAATCTAAAAGTATAGTTATTATAAATACAATCTATAGCCATGTGAAAGTGATATATAATATTTAAAAATTGATATTTTATTTTATATGTACCTTAACAATATTCTGAGAATTTACGTATASGTATTGTTCTTAGTTTGATGATTTATTCTTCAAATATATTTTACTTATATAATATTGTTAATATTGTTAGCGCTAAATTAACTTATAAATTATAATTCATAAATAAATTATTAGTACAGGTTTGAATATATTGTTATGAATGGTTAAAATTAATATTTTAACAGACTACAGTCAGCAATAGGTACTACAGTTTTGTTTGGGTATAAAGTATTAACTTAACTTCTCATCTAATAGAATTAATGTATGTTCTTCACATCAAAAAATAAGAATTATAATTTGTTTTTATTTTATTTAGCTGAAACTTCAGCATCTAAGGTCATTGTTTTCCTACATTCTTAGCCAATATTTATGGATAAGCTTAGATAATCCTATTTTTAAAATTATATTATATTATTATGTACCATCAATCAGGGTGACTTGATATGATTTTGGCATACTTCATACTTCTTGGTATTCTGAGCATAAAAAAATCGCACTGGGCTGAAAAAAATACATATAAAATATGTGTATACGTTTCATAAACAGGATAAGACCTTTCATTTAGTTTTTTAACCAAAATTATTCTTAAAAAAATATAAAAAGTATGTGTTACAAGTCACCACAATTTTTGGGGGACTTGTAATACCTATGAAAATTTAATGTAATCTTCAATTCAAGAATGTTAATGTTGACTTGTGACAAAATATTTTTTTTACCTGATTGGCGGTACATTGTAAGAATACTATTGCTAAATTTTCTTGTACATCTGAGGCTCTTTATGGAAGGAAATAAGGTCAATCGATATATATTTGGTTTCATGAATTTTTAGGTATCTATGTCTATATGCTTATTTTGTGCTCGAGTGCTGCTTCAACTGCTTTGACAATTTACTATTACTTATTTTTCATTCAATTTTCATATTATTACTTTCAATTAAATAATGTTAATTTCACATACGAATCACAATATTATATTTACATCAATGATTTACAATTTACAAGTAAATTATGATATTAACTAATACTAAATTRCAAATGCTATTATAACTTATMACTTATAAGTAGAGTTGGGATGTTAATGACCAAAATTTCTTTAACATATGCATATAAAAAAGTCAAAATATGCAATTATATACCATAAAATATCTCTATTTGTCCAACAAAAATATGAAAAAAAAAGGTAAACATTAATTCAAAAAAATTATTTACTCTTTAAACGTGCGTTTAAAATTAGGTACTTTATTACAAAATACACACAGCTATTAAATATGAAATAATACGAATAATTAGTTTCCGACTTT